ATACTTCCCCTACTTCTTAGAATGTTCCTTCATAAGTCATTACAAATAGGATTTTCTTAGGGAACATCTGGTTGGATTAAGCATGGTATACAAAGCATGTCTACAGTAAGACAAACCAGAAGGAGTAAGGTGAAAAAAAAGGTGTTATGTAATTTAAAGAAGACATAAGGCTTAAATAAACATATCTTCAAAATCTCCTTCTTGTATCTCATAGGAGGTTTCATATGCTTCTGGTGAGCAGACAAATGGCTGCCTTAGGCTAACTAGAAAACATCCAAACGTTGAGTGAGATAATTTTTAGGGTGAATTTGTCCAATTTCTTGCTCTGTCTTAGAGTCGTCTTTCAGTATCCAAGATCCTCACAGATATAAAAATCCATGTATGCTCAGGAACCTTATATAAAATGGTGAAGTATTTACATGAAACCTTTCCAACCTTCCCATGTACTTTAAGTCATCTCTAGGTTATGGAAATCCTAACAAAATCAAAGTACTATGTATATAGTTGTTGCACTGGACTGGAGAGTGAATAATGGCAAGAAATAAGGGTCTGTAGATGCTCAGCACAAATGTAATTCTTTTGGATATTCAGTCTGTAATTGGTTGAAGTTGCAGACACAGAACTGCCGATGCGGAGGACTGATTGATTGCCTATTTTATATGGGGGATGTCAGAAAACACACATTAAACTAAGAGCTACCAGTTTGTGCAAAGCCATGTGTGGATTTTCTCATATTTTATAACCTTGCTACTCCAAGTGCGCTCCTTAGATCAGTAGCACTCACATCACCTAGGAGTTTGTCAGAACGCATGACCCGAGGCCCTACTCTGCAAGTACTGATTCAGAATCTACACTTTAATAAAAGTCTCAGATAATCCGTTCACATGCTAAAATTTGAGAAGTACCACTTTATAGAAATCACACCACTCTGCCTGGCCCCATTTTTGATTAATCTCACCAGGTACCTACAAAGACTGAATTGTGTGAACATGAATTACTTTCGGTATTCTCAGCAATAATTTATTTAATCCATGTTGTCTTTCTCCTTTTTTTTTTTCTTCCTGCCAGCCACGTGCTTCTAGGCCACCAACATACGCTGTCCTTAGGAAAGATTACTTACTACAGCCAACTCTGTGGAAGGCACATCTATCTAAACTGTAACTGGAAATCCACCTTTAAACAAAATCACACAATATGCTCCAAAGCCATGTGTGTGATTGTAGAATACCTAAGAGAAATACTATGTTTTCACCACTAGGTGGAAATAGAGTAATTTTGAGTATAATTTTCAGGGCCATGAACTACTGTGCAGTAATTCATAAGCTGAAAATGACCAAAGAAATCATTTAGACTAATAATTCTCATCCCCTCAGTTTCATAGATGATACAACTGGAGTTCCGAGATATTAAGTAAAATTGGATCTGTCTCACAAAAGGCAGTCTTCCTAGAGCTCCTAGAGAAAGAGCTGCTATTAATTCCGGATTCTTCAGTCATTTTTATCCTGAAGAATAATCTGATTCTCTTCCAGCATGAAGGTAGACATGATTTTGCACCCAGAAAACCTATTCACTGTTACTGAACATACATGACCAGCACAGTTTCCAATGTTTCCAAGGACAGGCTAGGATAAAACTATGATTTCTAGCTTCCTATAGTATAATTAATCATAGTCAGGTGATAATTCTCCTTTTCCCAATGAAGTAACACTCAACAATCTCTATAGCACTGTGAGAGACTTTAACCAGACTTGTTTTTACATTTTTGGATTTTACTCCTCATATTGTTTTCATGTTAAGTGGGTTTTAGTAAGCGGTTAACAGAGTGGTTAATGCATTTCAGAGCTTGAAATTCATACTACCATTTGTAAGAAAGGAAGAGGACCTGAATGTCTGAGTTTGAGGAGCATGAGAAGTAATGTACTCTAAGGGCGCACACGCACACACACACACACGCACACATACACACAAGGCATCTGAGAATAAGGAATTACATGTGTTGCCCAGTAGTCACCATTCCCTTCTTTGTTCCATGGAAGACACTGACAGGTATTTTGGCCTTATGTCTTTCCATTTTTTTTTTTCATCACAAAAGGATTATTTCTGTTCATTACAAACATGATTGTGTTTACTTAAAGATCGATTTTAGGAAATGCTTTGGGGTCAAAAGCTATTTTTTAAAAAATATTTACTTGAAAGGCAGAGTTAGAGAGAGAGAGAGAGAGGGAGAAGGAAAGATAGAAAGAGATCTTCCATCAGCTGGTTTGCTCCCAAAATAGCTTGCAACGGTTGGAGTTGGTGAGGCTGAAGCCAGGAGCCAAGAGCCAGGAGCTTCCTCTGTGTCTCCTACATGGGTGCAGGAGCCCAAACACCTGGGCCATCTTCTGTTGCTTTCCCAGGTGCATTAACAGGAAACTGGATCAAGACATGAACCAGTGCCCATATGTGATAAGGGCATCACAGGTGGTGGCTTAACCAGCCATACCTCTTTTGGGGCTGGCCCCAAAAGCTACTTCTTAACTACTTAAGTATCCAGTACTCTAGTGCCATTCTCCTTTTGATATTTCCATAACATGCTTGAGTGGGTTAACCTGAAAATTAGCATCCTAGTACTGAGACCTGGCTGTTAGTACCATAGTCTATACAAAAATGGGTGAAAGGTATTAAAACAGCACAATCAGAGCCCAAATTTAAACAGATAGGTGAAACCTCCCCTTGCGTGAAAGCTAGCACTTTTTTTTTTTTTTAAGATTTATTTATTTGTTTGAAATTACACAGAGAAAGGAGAGGCAGAGTGAGAGAGGTCTTCCATTTGCTGGTTCACTCCCCAGATGGCTGCAATGGCCGGAGCTACGCTGATCCAAAGCCAGGAGCCAGGAGCTTCTTCTGGGTCTCCCACGTGGGTGCAGGGCCCAAGGGCTTGGATCATTTTCTACTGCTTTCCCAGGCCACAGCAGAGAGCTGATTAGAAGTGGAGCAGCCAGGACTCAAACTGGCACCCATATAAGATGCAGGCACTGCAGGCCAGGGCATTAACCCGCTGTGCCACAGCGCCAGCCCCGGAAGCTAGCACTTTGCACCTAGTTTCTCAAAACAGGAACATTTCCTGAGCAGGAAAGGCTAGAATGCAGGACAACCATGAGGCCCAAGCCACTCAGTGTTCAAAGGGTGCCCCAAGGAAGACCGGGCTAACCCTAAATTAGAGCAGGGAGTTATGAAAGGGGCAGTGCAGAGGAGTAAATATCTTTGGCATGCTGGAAGCTGGGAGGCCAACCTCTGGTTTCAGTTGTCTGAAGGCACAAGGGCAAGTGTCTTGGCCAGGTGGCTGTGGCCTCTACTCTCTGTCCCATGGCAGGTGGGCAAGCTCCAGGAAGCGTAATGTTTTACACACAAGTCTAGGGATGATCGTGGGATTAGAATGAAAAGCAGAGAGTATTTACTGGGGTAAATACACAGGAGTCTGAGAAGAAACCATCAAAGGCCCATCAGTTGGATGTTAGGACCCAGAGACACAACCCCTAAAATGACTGCAGGAAATCAGAATATTCCACCCAGTAATGTCTTTTTAGCGTATTTTGGGCTGTTCAATCTGGGAAATTCCAGGCACGACAGCAGCTTTGGAAAGCTATTCTTTGGTAAAAGAAATTTGCAATCTATAAAAGAAATCACATTCAAGTATACACGTTCCTCGACCTGATAAGGTTCCCTCCCAACCAACTCATCACAAAGTTGAAAATATTGCAAATTAAAAAGTATTTAATCTCCCAAACCAACCAAACATCAGCGCTTAGCCTCGCTGCCTTAACCGTACTCAGAACACTTCTATCAGCCTGCCGCTGGGCGAGTTCAGCGCCTCGGGTAATTTATCCAGTGCGGTACAGAAAGTGAAACACAGCATGGTTTTATGGGTCAGCTTTCCCACTCTGATAAAGTTAAAAATGTCCAAGTCGAATCACTGTCAGCCTGCATTAGGAAGAGGACAGCTTGGCGATAACCGTTAATAGCCGGGAGAGGAGCTGCAGAAAGAAAACCTCCACCCTGGTACAATCCCTCTTCGCACCCTCCCCTATCTTGCGTCCCCACTACCCGCTGGCCAGCTAGCCCCAGATCCCCTTTTTCCTGTAGCGGCAGCAGCTTCTCCCTCCGTTCCAGTCACGGAACCTCCTTGGAGTCTCCAAGGGTGTGGGACCGCCACGCCCAGGTATGTCATGAGACTGCTTTCTCTCCCGTTAATCGTTCACGTCCATTTAACCCACAGTGCAGCCAAAGATCACTCTTTTGAGTGGAAGGAAGTCATTTTTCGCATCCCATAGGGGAATATAAGCTAAGAACATTCTCGAATGACAAGACAGCCCACTGAAGCTGAAATTTCCCGTAGAGCTGCAGTCTACAGACCGAATTTTCTGGCCACCCTCCACTGCATCTAGCACTTTCTGGTAAAACTGCAGGGTTCCCCCTTAGGCGCACACCCACCTCGAGGCCCTAATTGCCCCAAGGGTGGCCTGAGGGTGGTGGGGACAGTGGGTTCTCTTAGGAGGATGTGGGTTTGTCTGCTGCCAAAAATCACAGGTTTTTAAAGAGGCTATCAGTTCATCCATCAACCAAGCAACCCAACCATGCAGCCGATCAATCAGTTCTGCGCCCAGCGAGGACTTAACAACGTGATGTCCCTGGTTGGCTGGAAAGGAAAAGCAGCTGCAGCTTAATGGTCAAAGGGCGGGTAGCGGGGAAGGCTCGCGGGGGCCCCCCGGTGGCCCCTCCGGCTTTCTGGGCCTGCGGAGGAGGCGGGTCGTGCAGGGTCTGGCGTGCGGGGAGGAGCTGGGCGAGTCTCCGCTTGCAGGAGGCGCCCGACGAGCTGCGGCGTCCCGGGCAGGTGGAGCCGGTTCGCACCTCCTGATCCGGCGAGGACGGCCCCGGGCACCCGGGGGGCGGGGCGGGGGCCGGGCGAGGCACGCCTCCCATTGGCTGCCCGGTGTGGCCTCGCACAGGCCGCGCCCTATAAAGCAGCCGCCGGCGGCGGGAGGCGCACGCCGCTCTCCGCGCTCGGGACCCTACTCTGCTCGCTGTGTACGCCCGCCCATCTGCGCTCACCATGGCCAACATTCAGCAGCTGGTAGGAAGATGGCGCCTGGTGGACAGCCAAGGCTTTGATGAATACATGAAGGAACTAGGTGAGGCACCCAGCCCCGCAGCGCCTGCAACGTGGCAGGTGCGGAGGGGTCGGGCCCGAGGCCCTGCACCGGCGAGCTGGGCTCCCGGGCGCAGGATGCTCGGTTCCCTAGCCCAGCCCCTCCCATCGCGCCACCACCACGTGGCCCTGGGTGCAGCGTGGCGCGGCACCACGCGGGCGAGCAGCCGGCAGAGCCCGGCGCGCGGCGGCCGCAGGATCCCGGAGATGCCCCGCTGCGTGCTCTGCGCTCGCTTCTGCTTCCTTTTTTTTTTTGCCCACGCGGCGGCAGATGGAGCCTTTGGCGTGCGCTCCCCGCTGCCCACGAAATGCACGTTTTCCTCCTTAACTTCCCCTCTTTTTCCTTCCCTCTTACTCGTGCTCCTCCTCGTGCCGCTATCCTGGCTTCACCCAGTGCGCTTTCCCACCCGGCCTCATCTTTTGTTCCTCGGTGGCGCCAGATCGCCTCCCTGCGCTCCACGGGGACGCGGTATGCCAGGGTGCCGTTTCCAGCGGCGACCCTGTAGGTTCTGAACGGAGCTCCCAGCCCTCAGCTCCCGTCCACTCTCGTTCCAACTCCCCCGGTCCTTTGCCTGCCCGGCCCGCCCAAACCCCCCGCGTGAGCCGAGCCCTGGGGATCGGCGCGGCTCGCGGCGGCGCTCGGGCGGGCTAGCTTGCCTAGGAGGCGCGCAGAGAGACGATGGCCGCTAGCAGCGCCCCTCTGCTGCCCGGCACTGCCTGGCCGTGGCGCCGCGGTGGGTGGGTGGGTGGCCTGGGGTGACTGTTGGCTGTCTTCTGCCCTCTGGGTCTTGAGGGTGGAGATCGAGGAGGGCACAGTGGACGTGGTTGCAAAATACTCATCGGATGCTGCTGGCCTACAGCTGCTAACTGCATGCAAGATAGTTTGTGGCATTGCAGAACCGAAAAGGCTCTGTTGGAAGATTCACCTTGTTTTGCCTCCTTGCCTTTTGCGAAGCCAGTAACAGCGATTGCCTGCTGGTTGAGACATCAGGGAGATAGCAAACAAAAATGGGCCCTTGTCTCAGGCCGCTAGGAGGAAGTAGGATTTCCAGCCCCGAGGGCCCGCTGGAGCCAAGAGGGTGTTTCCGGAAGCCAGTATCCCATGGTGCTAACCCTACAGCCCCTAGCTAAAGTCACTGCCATGGGCTGTCTGTCCACACTTGTGGCTCCTTCCCTGGCCTTTATTCAGAAGCTGGGATGGAGGCTGGTGAGATATACTTAGAATGCAGACAGTGAGACCCGAAGGCAGTATTTTTATTTTTATTCAATGTAAACCTCCATAAAGATGACTCTGGGAGAAGCCATTTAATTGCACTGATCCGAGAACTAAGTGTGGTGTGGTGCGCACACACACACACAGGTTTGAGGAACTACATAGAGAACACTTCTCTGTCCCTTGGAAGCAAATGTGTGTGTTTAGAGCCCTGTGACTTCAGAATGCTGCAGGCAGGAAGGCTGTCAAAGCTCACTTCACTGGGGAACAGTCGAGGTTTGGGAGAGCAGAACCCGCTTATTTATCCACAGCGATAATAAATGATGACCAACAGCACAAGGCACCAGCCCGAGCCTGGCTGGGTGTTGCTCATTAGGATGGCCATGCTTTAGGTTGCAGTCTCTTCATGATCCAAGATCCTGTATTGATGTTAACATCAAGAGGATGCACACATCATAAATGAATGTATAGTAATATAAAATTTCATACCTAGAGAATTTGATATAGTAATTGAGTTTATGCAGTTTTAAATATTTTCTGTTTTTGAGGGTAAACTTTTTCCATTAGCATTGTGCTTGCACTGCTAACGCTTAAAAATATTTGTTTATGTCAGGGTTGATTTCTATTTTGAGTGGCCTATTAATCAAATATTTATCAAAGGCCTTTTATGTCTCAGACTGTTTTCTGTAAGTGTGTCGCACAATGATAGAATCCAGTGTATAGAACACAACTGAGCAAGCTCCTGAGTTTGCAATTTTGAAGACTTTAGCTGCACCTTCTAACAACTAGTTTCAGTAAGTAATTTTAGAAGGTCCTTATTTCTTCCCTAACTTTCTCCATGGATCAGCATAACATGATGACCAAGAGCTGGGATTTGGAGCCAAGTTGTTCACAGCTCCTGGGCTTCCTAGCTGAATGAGCGAGTCAGTTCAGTGGCTCCGTTTCTCGTCCGTGAAAGGGAGGCAGTAATATCCCCTCACTGAAGGGTTGCTGCAAGGTTTACATGAATTAACGTGTGCTGGTGCAGGCTGAGCACTAGGTACATGTCTACCGTCCTTATCAATAAGAGAAGAAATGAAAATATGCCAGGCAGAGGGATTACAAAGGAATTACTGCTTTTAGTCTGTAAATGAGACCTTTTGTCTTGCTGTTATTGATGTGATACAACATTCTACAGGAGTGGGACTGGCTCTGAGAAAAATGGGTGGAATGGCCAACCATATTGTATCATCTCCTACGACGGCAAAAACCTCACCATCAAACCGAGAGTACTTTGAAAACAACACAGTTTACTTGTCCCTGGGAGAAAAATTTGAAGAAACTACAGCTGATGGCAGAAAACTCAGGTCAGTCATACATGTTATAAGATTGCAGAAGTTTCTAGAATGATAGGTTGTATTAATAACATTTTACTGTTATCAGGCAAGAACTTATTGAAAAGGTTACCTTATGAGTTATGTTTTGACCAATTAGTCAAAGGGGCGGCTTCCTAGAATCTCTTTTGTGAGCTTCTAGATTGAAAAGCACAAACTGTATTAGGGCAAAATATCAGTATGATTGATGCAGGAAACCCAGAAAGGAGAAGATGAAGGAAACATTTACCAAGAAGGGGCTGAGTCACGGAAACTCACTCTTTTGTAACGTACTTTGGAGGGTGAGAAAGTAAACTTTGTTTTGCAGACCGTCTGCACCTTCACAGATGACGCACTGGTTCAGCATCAGGAGTGGGATGGGAAGGAAAGCACCATCACAAGGAAGCTGCAAGATGGGAAGCTCATGGTGGTAAGCGCCTCCGCTGCACTTTGTTTGCGCTCAGTTACCCTAAGTGTCCTCACTGATCATCAACAGGAAACTAACTTAGGGCAGACAACAGTTGCAGAAAAGTGAGTTAAACAGAATACTGCTCATTCAGACAGACCTTGGTGGAGCCAGACAAAGTAGCAGGAACTATAGGAAGTCTTTGCTCAGCTGCTGTGTCACAGCACCATCTTGGCAGACTGCTGAATTGCCGTCCTGGGCATATATATTTCCATTTCCTTAAAGTACAAAATGTTATTTGCCAAGACCACATGAAAAATTGAGGTAGTCGACACTTTAGTTTTCCCAGAAACCCATGCACATCAAGCAAAACAACAGGTGCTGCCTTCTCTGAAACCCGTCTGTGAAGCAGATTGCAGGAGTTTGAAGGAGTCTGATAGTAACCTGTTATTACCCCCACTGCTCTGGAATATGACTCTCCTAATTCTCAATCTCGTTCTTTGCCCTAGGACTGCGTCATGAACAATGTCACCTGTCATCGGGTCTATGAGAGAGCAGAATAAAAATTCCATCATTGCTTTGGACGGGAATTAGCTGCACAAATGAACGAGCTCAGTTCAATGAGCAAATCTCCATTTTGCTTCTTTTTTTTTTTCACGACTATGTTCAATTATCTTTATCACAAACCTTTTACATGCAACTATTCCAAAAGTGTTGGTTTAATTAAGATCATCCCTTTGGGTAGTCAATAAATGTGTTTGTGCTAATATATGTGGTAGATATTCTTTAAATTAATAGGAAATTCATGATAAGCTTTTTTTTTTTTTTTTAATTTATTTGGAAGGCAGAGAGAGGAGAGGGAAAAAGAAATATCTTCCATTTACTATTTAACTCCCCAAAAGCCTGCAACAGCTGGGGCTGGGCCAGGTTGAAGTCAGGACTTTCATCCAGGTCTCCCATATAGATGACAGGAACTCAAGTACTTGGACCATCATCTGCTGCTGCTTCTCAGGCATGTTAGGAGGGAGCTGGATTGGAAGTGGAGCGACTGGGGCTTGAACTCAGTACTACATATGGAATGAGGGCATGGCATGCAGAGGCTTAACCTGTTGCACCACAATGCCAGCCCCGATAAGTTTTAATAGGTGAGAGTTGAATAAATTCTGGGGTAGCCTGGAGGGTGCTATCTTGAAACACATTCTATGAATTATATGTAGAGCTACTTTTACAGCAAATACAATATCAGTCATTTAAGCTTGCCCTGCACTATTTGAACTTTTTTTCAACTCAGGTCTTCAGTTCTTTTGGGCATTTGTCATTAAAGGGTAGCATAAACTTTACATAGGAAAACAAATGTTAAGTTACCTCACTGATTAGGTCATATTTTTAGTGGTGTGCTTATAATTATGATTCAGGAATTCTGCAACTGAAAATTCATGTAGTAACAGAATTTACCACATGCCAGGAGCTGTTCTAAAGGTTGAGCTATATCTGAACATGATGCATAAATTGTTGCCCTAGGGTGAGCAAACATTCCCAGACCCACAACTTTGGAAGAACACAATGTGCTCACGAACAAAACCCATAAAAGTAACACAGCTCTAAATATTTGTGTGCATTTGCCACACATGTTACTGAAAGAACCACTGGAGAATTACAGTTAATCTGTCTGTGTCCCCACATCTTGGACCCAACTACAAACATTCATAATTCTCATCTGAAGAGATAGGCTGCAGATCTTGGGCTAACACGTTTGTGTCTGTGGCCCACAAAGAATAAGCATGGCTGGCACCAGGAGGGGCATTTAGCTTAGTGGGTAAGGTGCCTGCATCCCATGTGAGAGTGCCTGGGTTCATTTCCTGGCAGCAGGTGCTGGCTCCACGCATGGGGAAGACCAGAATTGCATTCTAGGCTCCTGCCTCTGGCCACTGTTGCCTCCCCAGCCAAAGCTGTAGAGGACCTTTGGGGAGTGAGCCAGTGGATGGAACCATTTCTGTCTTTTCCTCTGCCTCTCAAAAACAAAACAAACAAAAAATCATGAGTGGCTGTCTGCTGACATCCCTATTCTGTAAATATCAGGGTACTTCAAAAAGGTAATGGAAAAAATGGAATTAAGAGATAACATGTACTTTGGTGCAAAGAAATTTTCAGATCCATGCATAGTTTTTCATAATCCACATTTCCTATTAGCTTTTTGAACACCCTTCATAAGAAAACAAGATTTTAACTAGTTGACGTACTCCTAGTAGAACTAGGTTGTGAACCTGTGTTTCACCAATGTGTTCTACAACACTGCCTCTTAGCTTGCACAGAGATCCTGAGTCTAAGGCTCCTAACTGATTAAGTGAAGCATTCCTGCAACCACTGTCCATGTGCTAAGATGTTACCTGACAGAATCCTCTTTATTTTAAAAATATTTATTTTCATCTACTTGAAGACAGAGAGAGCTCTTTCATCTTCTGATTCACTACCCAAATGCTCACAGAGCCAGGGCTGGGTTCAGGCGGAAGCCAGAGCGTGGAATTCTATCTGGGTCTTCCACATGGATTGTAGGGACACAAGCACTCATACTCAGGCTGTCATGTGCTGCGTCTATGCACCAGCAGGAAGCTGGATCAGAAGCAGAGGAGGCAGGATGTGAACAGATACTTGGATATGGGATGCAAGTGTCCCACATATCTTAACTGCTATGCCAAATGCTTACCTGAGAATCTCAGGAATTTCCCAAACGAACAGTCATTGTAAGAGTTCAACTCTCACTAATAATCTAGTTCTGTGGTGTCTAGTATATAGCTATCAACCACTGAATGGCTAATCTGAATTGAGAAGTATAAATGGGATAAACTCCTCTAATGCTTTTTTATATTGGTTGGATATCAAAATAGCATTTTTGGGTCTATGTCATTACCTAAATACATATTAATAAAATTAACTTTTTTTTAAATGTGGGTAGGGAAAATTGAAAAACTGCATGTTAGTTGCATTTTTACAATGATATTTTATTGGAAGATCTTGTCCTAGACTTCCTTGTTTTTTAAAAAAAATATTACCTGAATGGCAGAGTGACAGGTAGGGAGACAGAGATTTTTCATTCAATGGTGCACTCCCCAAAGGCCCACAATAGCCTGGAGTGGGCCAGGTGGAAGTCAGGAGCCACATAGTCTATCCAGATCTCCCACTTGTGTGGCAGGGACCCAAGGACTTGAGCCATCATGTGCTACCTCCCAGGGCGCACATTAACCAGAAGTGAATTGGAAGCGGAGTTAATGGGACTTGAGCCAGACACTCTGATGTGGAATATGGGCATCCCAGCGGTGATTTAACCGGAGCCAAATGCCCATCACTAGACTTGCTTTCTGTGTGCATTTCCATCTTGTTATTCCAGTGTCCATGCCAGGGCTCTCTTTTACCCCTCTTTGTAGGTTTTTTTTTTTTTTTTTTTTTTTTTGGACAGGCAGAGTGGACAGTGAGAGAGAGAGACAGAGAGAAAGGTCTTCCTTTGCTGTTGTTCACACTCCAATGGCCGCCGCGGCCGGCGTGCTGCGGCCGGCACACCGCGCTGATCCGATGGCAGGAGCCAGGTACTTCTCCTGGTCTCCCATGGGGTGCAGGGCCCAAGCACTTGGGCCATCCTCCACTGCACTCCCGGGCCACAGCAGAGAGCTGGCCTGGAAGAGGGGCAACCGGGACAGAATCCGGTGCCCCAACCAGGGCTAGAACCCGGTGTGCCGGTGCCGCAAGGCGGAGGATTAGCCTATTGAGCCGCGGCGCCAGCCTTCCTCTTTGTAGTTTTAATAATGTGTACTTTGATCCAATGTTCCCTTAACCAAACTCTGGGCCAGGTGCTTGAAGCACTTTATAATCCTCAGAACCACTCTAGTTGATGAAGGTTGATTATGATTTTCTGTATCATATAGATGGGGAAACTAGGGCTCAAAGTCAGGTAATTGTGCAAGTAGAAGTCAAAGAGCAAACTGGAGCCCAGGTTTATCTGACTGCACAACTTGTACTACTAACTGCCTGTTCTGATGCCTACACTGCATCAGTGGGTGGGCTGTGGAGTATCTGCAGAGGGACTGTAACCCCGAGTTTCTCACATGGAGGAGCTGTTGACGTTTTGGGTGAAAGCACTTTGTGCTGGCCCATGGCAAGCATCATAGAACCTCTAGCATCCTACGATCATGGCCACAAAATGCCCACAGCACCCAGCAGTGAACCCCCAAATACCTCATACATTTCCATACATTTTCCTTCTTTGATATCTGCACTGCCTGCCATGCGAGCTCTGAGTTATCTGTGGTTGTGCACTAATCACTTGAAATGTGGTGAGGGCAATTTTAGAATTAAGTTTTGAATGTAGTTTTGATTAATTGAGATGTGGATTTAAAGACCCACATGTGTTAGCAACTGCTGAGCTGGACAGCACAGGGTGTTAACCTAATGTTTGCCAAAATCAAATTCCTTATTTTTTTTTAAATACCAAACCTGTTCTCCTTGCAGTATTCTCCATCCCCAATTCCTAGTAATGCCACCTTTCCAGTTCCCAGGCTACCTATGTTAGAGTTATCTCTGATTCATTGGTTCCTACCTAATTAGCTAATTCTTTCAATTTTACCTTCATAATGTATCTAGAATTCCATTACTTCCCACCTCTTCCAGAGATACCACCCTGTTCACATGCCACCATCACTTCTCCATTTCTGCTGGTCTACATCTTTATCCTCCCAGGGCCACCATTTGTAAAAACAAAACAGTTTAGACTAGGACTCCTCCTTGAGAAACCCTCTACTGGCTTCTCATTTCACTGGGAGTAGAAGCCAAAGTCCTTCACAAGATCCTCTCTGCTTTGCCGTGTCCTCCCACCTGCCCATCACCTGCTCCTGGTTTCATTTCCATTTATTCTCTTCTCAGACATCCTCCAGCTGCACTAGCCATTGTTGATAAGCGTGCTTCTGCCCCTGGTGCTTTGCACCTGTCGTGGCCTCTGCCAGGAGGAATCTTCCTCATGCTATCTGCAGCCCACGCTTTCTCACTTCCTTGAGGTCTCTTTAAATGTCACCCTAGCAGTGAGTCATCGCCAGACCACACTCTTTAGAAGCTTCCAGCCCCCTCCTTTCTTCTCAATTCCCCAACACACTGCTTATTTTTCCCCATAGCCCTTCCTCTCTTCTTGTTTTTCAAGTTTCTGGTTATTATTGCTCTTCCCCACTGGAAATTCCTAAGCTTTGTGAAGAAGGAGCTTATTTCTGCAGTGTTGTCCTTCTCTCTCTCTCGCACATCAATCAGGAGATACCATAGCATGCAGAATATGCCTAATAAATAGTTGTTGAGTGAACAAATCCATTCATAAATTAATATCTTTTTCATGCCCATTTAACACATCTCAGTATCCTTAAGACCCTTAGGCTACTGCTGCTGCTGCAACTTACTGTATTTTTTAAACTCATTTTTTGTAACTTTATGCCAATTGTTCAATGTTACCCTAAGCGTCATGTGTTTGGTGACTATAGGATGGCATATTTGACACAGGAAGTGAGGAATCCAGCCTTGCTACTGAGCTGGTGTTTTTTGGTACTCTGCTCTCCCAGGAAATTGACTACTTGGGTTTTAAAATTATTAATATTATCATTAATTTTTTATTTATTTGAAAGGCAGGGGGAAAGAAAGGGGGGGGGGGGGAGATCTTATATTCACTGGTTCACTCCCCAAATGCCTGCAACAGTTAGGGCTGGGCCAGGCTAAAGCCAGGAAGCCAGGAGCCCCAACTCC